AAACAGCTTCTGTGAGGGGTACAAGATGTAGGATTGAACAACTCTGATCTGGGTTAGCCCTGTAGAGTTACCCGACCCTGAGACGGAATGGGCCATTGTACAACCACACAGACCGATCATTGGACAGGGGCTACCCCAGAGAAGGAGGTTGGGGAGGCCGCTTCCTTAGGCTGGGGGTGAGTTCCAGAAAAACACAGCTGTGAGCTACCAGCTGGCAGCACTCCCATCTGCTGGGGGAACCCTGACTGGGATCGGGATGGTAGCAGTAGGTAGTCTGAGCACCCCTTGCACCCTTGTCCGGGCTCTTGGTGGACTCCTTCCATCAAGAAATTTTCCGGTTATTTATTTGATGATTTCTTGCGGAGTTGGTAAAGAATCTGTCTGCAATGTGGGAGACCTGGGTTCAATGCCTGGGTTGGGAAGAGCCCTTGGAGAAGGGAAAGGCTACCCACTCCAATATTCTGGCCTGGAGAATACCGTGGACTGTATAGACCATGAGGTCACAAAGAGTTGGACACGACTGAGTGACTTTCACTTGGGGATCTAGGAAGCTAACTGCTGCCACTTTTCTTTAAAAAAAAAAAATAATAATAATAACAGCTCTATTGAGAGAAAACTCACCTACCTTAAAAGTCACCAGTTTAAATAGTACAAGTTACTGGTGTTTAGTATGTTTGGAGTCGTGCTATCATCACCTCAATATAATTTCAGGACAGTTTCATTGCCCGAGAAGAAAGTCCATATCCATTAATAATAGTTGCTCCACATTCTGTCCTCCCTCCAGTCCCTGGAAACCACTAATCTACTTTCTACCTCTGTACGTTTGCCTATTCTGAATATTAGATTAAAATGTGATTATACAATATATGCTTTTTGTGATATGACTTTTTTCACTGAGCATAATGTTTTCATGGTTTACATGTTGTAGCATGTACCAGTGTGTGCCACTTCATCCCCATCTATTGTCAAATATTTCCTGTATGGATATACCACATTTTCTTTATCCATTTATCACTGGAAGGACATTTGGATTGTTTCCACTTACTAGCAATTATGAATCATATTTCTATGAATTTTCATGTACAAGTTTTCATGAAGATGTGTGTTTTCATTGCTCATTGTTATACACTTAGAAGTTACATTGCTGGGTCATACGGTAAATCAACATTCTGATGAACTGCCAAATGTATTCCAAGAAAACTGTTCCATTTTATAGTCCTCTCAGCATTGTAAGAGGGTTCTGATTTCTCTACATGCTTGCCAATGTTTCTTATCATCTTTTTCTTTTTTCAGCCATCCTCCTATGTGTGAAGTGGTATCTCATTGTGGTTTAATTTGTATTTCCCTAATGACTAATTATATTGAGCATCTTTTCATGTGCTTAGATTTGTAATAAGCGAAAGATCTTCATAATCCACGATCATGAAGATTTATGCCTATGTTTCCTTCTAAGATTTTTTTTTGTAGTTTTATCTCCTACATTAAGGTTGATGATCCATTTTGAGTTAATTTTTATATATGGTGTACGATAGGGGTCCAGCTTCTCTTTTTTTGCACATAGATATGCAAGCTGAAGCCCTGCAAATGTATTTTTATGTGGCATTTTAAAGTGGTTGGGGAGTATGGGCAGGGTCTGGAGAAGTCAGTGGTTATGTAATTTTTAAAAATATGTATTTATGTTTGGCTGTGCTGGTCTTCATTACTGTATGTGGGCTTTCTCTGGTTGCAGTGAGTGGGGGCTACTTTCTAGCTGTGGTATTCAGGCTTCTCATTGTGGTGGCCTCTCTTATTGTGGAACACAGGCTCTAGGACACGTGGGCTTAAATAGTTGTGGCTTCTGGGCCCTAGAGTGAGAGCTCAGTAGTTGTGGTGAAAGAGCTTAGTTGCCCCGTGGCATGTGAGATCTTTCTGGACCAGGGACTGAACCCGTGTCCCCTGCATTGAAAGGTGGATTCTTAACCACTGGACACCAGGGAAGTCCAGGGCTCATGTAATTTTATGAGAAACTCTAACGTGGAGTATTGCTGAGGCAGCAGGATTCTGGGCAGTTTTGTTAAGTAGTCACTTGTCTCCAGGTTTCAACTGTCTCCTAGGATCTCCTTTTTCCTTGCTGCAAGTCTGAGAGGCAGGGACATTGCGTAAGCCACATAGACATAGGGGTAGACCTAGCTGGTTTGGGCCACAGGCAGAAGAAACCCAGACTTAAGGTCATTCCTCTGGTCATTCCTTAAGGTTATTCCTCTGGTTATGTAGCCCATTTGCTGTCATTGTCTCCTGATTAACCATCATTTTGTTGTTGTTGTTGTTCTCAGAAAGTTCTTCTGTAGTATGGTTGCAATATTGAGGAATAAACTTGTGGCTGCCAATGATACTATTCCTAAGGATAGAAGTAATTGGGAGGAAGCCCAGAGAAATCAGAACTCAAAACCCTTACCCTCTGTGAGGCTGCTTTATAAACACTTTTATTACATCAAAATGCAATGCACTTGGATAGTTCCTGCTATAGCTTCAGTAAGTAAGGAGCTGGGAGAGGGGGATGGGGTCTGGATAGATATATGACATAAGAATGCAGGTTGTAGGAGACTAGTTTTCCCTCCAACTTGTCACTTCCTTTCCTGGGCCTGGTGTGTGTGTGTGTGTGTGTGTGTGTGTGTTTCATCTATAAAATGACAGTTTGGTTTCAAATAATTCCCATAGTTCTTCCGTCTTTGGTAATCTTTGGCTTTTCCAAGATCACTTCATAGCTTTTGGGCAGCTCGGGTAGGAAATCAAGTCTCTTGACTTCTCCGATAGAGCTCAGAACGCACAGAAGATGCAGTCTTCCCTAATCCATGTGGTCCCACAGGTTGCCTGAGATTTCCTGTTAGCGGTTTTCAATGGCTTTGGAGTAGAAGGAAGTTCATTGCTATGACAGTCAGGCAGCCACACTGGGGAAAATATGATATATTGTGTTGTGTAGGAAAAAGTCATTATTATCCAGTGCAGTAATCAGATTTTCAGACAAAGGCATGACCCTGGAACATGCTGTCTATGGCTGAGCATCGCATTAGTCTCGTCTCCAAAAACAGTTAAACAAAATCAGTGTGTACTTGGCATGTCTCTCTCCCTTGGATATGGAAATTTATCTTGCCTGAACATTTTTCTCATTCTTATTTTGGAGGCAACTAGATTGCTCTGAAAATATTAGTCATAGCGGTAATTGATTTAGTATTTATTGAGCAGCAGGCTCTGTGTGAGGTAACAGAAATATAAAGAAAGACTCTGAGGTAGGGGTTTCTATCTAGTAGAGAGAGAGGAGAGAAAAACAAAAATTAAAACACCTCCAAAGGCCAATATTTATTTTCTCTGCCCCTCCCTTTGGGGCTTTGCTGGTGGCTCAGTCAGTAAAGAATCCACCTATAATGCAGGAGACTGCCTGCAATTCAGGAGACCCAGGTTCGATCCCTCGGCTGGGAAAATCCCCTGGAGAAGGAAATGGCAACCCACTCCAGTATTCTTTCCTGGAAAATCCCATGTACAGAGGAGTCTGGTGAGCTGCGGTCCATGGGGTCGAAAGAGTTGGACGTGACTGAACAACTGAGCACACGTCCTTCCCTTTATTCCTCAGTTATTTGTTGAGCATTCGCCCTGTGCCCAAGCTCTCTGCTGAGCGCTGGAGATACAAAAGTGAGTAAGACAGACACATCTCAGACTCCCCGGTGGCCCAATGGTTCAGGATTCACCTGCCAATACAGAGGACGTGGGTTCGATCCCTGCTCTGGGAAGATCCCATATGCAGCAGCTAAGCCCGTGCACCACAACTACTGGGCCTGCCCTCTAGAGCCTAAGAGCCACAACTCCTGAGCCCGTGTGCTGTAACTACCGAAGCCCGCACCCCCTACAGCCCATGCTTTGCAACAAGAGAAGCCACCGGGATGAGAAGCCCAGGCACCGTAGGCAAGAGTAACCCCTGCTTACTGCAGCGAGAGAAAGTCCGCACACAGCAACAGAGACACTGTGCAGCCACAAATAAACTAGTTAAAAAAGACAGACACATCTCTGTGGTCCCTCAAAGCCATGCCTTAAATGATGTCTGTTGGACCGTATAGTAGAGGAGACCGGATCAGCCTGTGATACATGGACTTAGAGCGCAGATCAGGATCCATGGAGGGCTTCCTGGAGAGGGTGACCTGGGACCTAAAGCAAAGTAGAAGCAGGTGCTTGTCAAATAGGCAAAGCCAGAGGAGCAGTGATCAATGGCTGCACAGAGGAAGTGCTTCATTGGAAATAGAACAGTAGGAAATGAGATTATAAAGGTAGGTGAGGTTCAGCTCTTGAAAGGACTTTAGACTCCAATCTAAGGTGATAGGCACACCACTTAAACGTCTCATAATGGAGGAATTATTACAGGAAACGGGCCATTTAAAAGAACATAAAATGGTATAACTGCATAGATTTTAAGTAATAAAAAGCAGAACACAAACATTGCGTGCTCACTGTGATTACTGATTTATACGGTATAATTGAGACTGTTAAAGATGGGAGGATCCCTAAAAATGAAGTCCTATTTGTATTCTGAGATTCTTTAAGAATTCCTTTATGATATTCACTCAGCATCAAATCTCTCCTACGTGTGCAGATCAAGATGCAACCTCTTCTCTCTACCATCAAATACGGAGAGATCTAATAGCTTTAATGCATTTTAAATGTGTGTGACTGTGAGATACCGAGGGTAGGCACATCCATAAAGACAGAACATAGGTTTGGTGGCCGCCAAGGTCTTGGGAGGAGGAGAGAGGTTGGGATCACAGCTAATAGGTCCAGTGTTTCCTTTCTGGGGTGATAGAAATGTTCTAAGGTTAGTTTGTGAAAATGGTTGTAAACATTGTGAGTATACTAAAAACCGTTGAGATACATGCTTTGGTTAAAATGGTTAATTTTATGTTATGTGAATTTTATCTTGATAAAAAAATACAGAAAGATAAAAGATGCTGATTGGCTTTTGTTGCTGTTTTTGGTAGTCAAGGGCAACCGGAAGTGTGAGCTGAACTGCCAGGCGATGGGCTATCGCTTCTATGTGCGGCAAGCTGAGAAGGTCATTGATGGCACCCCCTGCGACCAGAATGGCACAGCCATCTGTGTTTCCGGGCAGTGCAAGGTAAGTGCCCTGGACTGGGGTATCTGCTGTAGGTCTCGGGGTGTTTGGTCTGTTCCTGCCAACTGCACTGTTTGCCAGGCTGTGGTATGCTTCCTCCCCATCACCTGTGGTCCACCCCCCCACCCCCACTCTGAACCATGAGCTCTGGGAGAAGTGGATTAAATGGGGCGGTTTGTTCTGCTCTGAGTTTTCGATCTTTGGGAGTTGCCAAGTCTCACTCTGGCATTTCAATTAAGTGATTTACATTTACATCATGTGCGTTGTAAAGAAACTCAGCGATCTTTCCTTGTTGGATCCGGAGCTTCTTCCTTACCTCTGAAGAGGAGGTTATGAAAAGGGCACTGCTGTTATCAGTCAAGAGGCGGTTGGCGTCGTCAGGGTGGCATTTTAAGGGCATGGCATATTTTATCTTGCCTCCCACCAACTGCGGCAGGCTTCCAAATGAAAGCGGTCTAGTGCCTTTATAGCCAAAGTTGTACTTTCAGCAGGAAATTTTCAGCCTCCTTGGACTTCTGAAGTCTGTTCCAAGAACTCCCCGCCCTGCATTCTGGGCTGGAGAGAATCCTTGTGGGATGCTACCCTTTGACAGAAAGCACCATTTGCTTAAAAACAGGCGCCCCCAAATTAGATGGCACCAGTTCCACAGTCATATCCATTGGGGCCTGAACGTCCACCCTCCTTTCATCTATAAATGTAAGAGCGGAGGTCTGACTATAGCAGGTAAATGACTTTTGGAGCCCAGGCTATGATTCTGTCTTAATTAACACTCAATCACAAGCAGGACTAAGTTTCATCAAAGGAAGAGCTCTTTGGCTATCACATCTAAAATTTCGTGTTGTACTTTCAATGTAAATTGCTGCATTGTTTAGCTACTTAAGTATGATTTATAAGCACCTCCTTTCCCCTCCAGTCTTTTTCTTAATGAGGTTTTAAATAGAATACAAAATAATTTATCAAAGCAGTATCAATATTCTGGGGCTTCTCAGATGGCTCAGTGGCAAAGATTTGCCTGTAATGCAGGAGACACAGGTTCAATACCTAGGTTGGGAAAATCCCTGGGAGAAAGTAATGGCAACCCACTCCAGTATTCTTGCCTGGGAAATCCCATGAACAGAGGAGGCTGGTGGCCTATAGTCCATGGGGTCGCAAAGAGTCGGAAAGGACTCAGCAACTAAACAGCAACAACATGGATAGTCTGAGATTGTGAGTAAAGAAAGGAAAAAACTGTTATCTGATATTTGGTGCATGTGAAGTTGCCTTTGGACAGACAAGAAACCCACAAAGCTTTGAGATGGGGATCAAAAGAGGCAAGGAATATGGTGGGGAGCACACTGGAGGCTGAGACCCATCTGGCCCCAATTTCGACTCCTTTGGAAAAAACCACTGGGTTTCATGCATCCCTTCTACCCTTACTGTCTTCAGATAATACTGAAGGAAGTCCCATTAGAGTTTGTGATTTCCGACTCAGCTAGTCCCTTCTTCTAAATGTTAACTGAGCCTGAAATGATGCACTTTATAGCAACCTAGCTTTTCTTTCAGATCCTGAATCAACTGTTTAATTTCCTAAATACAAGTACACACTGCTGGGAGATGTTATAGTGTAGCGGTTAAAAACGTGCCCTCTGAAGTCAGACTGCTTGGATTCAAATCCTACTTCTTCCATCAATGACTGTGTAAACTTGCACAAGTTCCATGAGCTCTCCGTGCCCCTACATCACCTACAACACGAGGATGGTACCTACCTCCTGCGTTGTAGTGAAGAGTCATGAGCTAATACACATATGGTTCTCATTATCAGTTCCGGCACTGAGTAAAGCAGGCTGGCTTTTCCTAGTATTATGTTCACTTATGCCCACATATGACCTGTTGTATTTGAATTTTTTATGCAGAAATACTTGAATTTTTTAGCAGATTATAGATTTGTGAGATTCACATTATCGTATATGGCAGAAAAATTAAAATACTTTAATTGACAGATACATCTTTATAATAATTTTTCCTTATGTATTTTGGCTGCAATTTAAAATTTTTTTTTTCTATTTTTAAATTGGAGGATGTTTGCTTTAAAGTGTTGCGTTAGTACAACAACGTGACTCAGCCATCTGTATACATATATCCCCTCCCTGTTGAGCCCCTCTCCCCCCACCTCCCATCCCACTCCTCTAGGTCATCACCCAGCACCAGGCTGGCCTCCCTCTGTTATATGGCAGTATCCTACTAGCTAGCTGTTTCACACATGGTAGCGTATGTGTCACTGCTGCTTTCTCAGCTCGTTCCCTCCTCTCCTCCTGTTGTGTCCACAAGTCCATTCTCTACATCTGTGGCTCTATTCCTGCCCTGCAAAAACGTTAATTGGTACCATTTCTCTAGACTCCATGTATATATATGCATTAATATATGATATTTGTTTTTCTCTTTCTGATTTGTTTCACTCTGTATAATAGGCTCTAGGTTCAGCCACTTCAGTTCAACTGATTCACATTTGTTCCTTTTGATGATTGAGTAATATTCCATTGTATATATGTACCACAACCCATCTATTCATCTATTGATGGACATCTAGGTTGCTTGCATGTTCTGGCTATTGTAAGTAGCACTGCAGTGCTCACTGGGGTGCATGTGTTCACATTATCTTTTGAGGCAGTGTCCCTTTGCTGTAGTGTGACTCTCCAGGGGATCTTAGATTCTATGTTGGTAGGTCGGGGGAAAGTCCTGAATAGTCTATTTTTATAACAAGTTCCCATGTGATGCTGATGCTGCTGGTCCATGGGTCATATTTTGAGTAGCAAAGTTTTAAAGGACCCTTTGATTAAAGCAGAGTTCACAAAGAGCCAGAAATGTAAATATAGAGTGGTGAGATGAGTTGGAAGGAAGAGGAAATGTGGTCTGTTTCCACTGGGGGAGCTTGTTTTCTTAGTATTGTCTTAAGTGCCTCTAAGCTGATGATATGAAAGAAAAACAAATACTAATAAGGACATATGGGTATGAATTCTTACTAACTGATGAAAACTAATGGTGTCAGACAACACAGTTTGAAGATGATAGTTGCAAGAAGACCAAGACAGATATTCCCCAGGATGTGAGTAGATGAACAGGAATTTGATGTTAATAAGGACAACTTTGATATTACTTCCTGTTTGTTCTCTGTGTATTTACCCAAAATTTGCTCATAGACATCGTTGGAAGAACTGACTGTCCTGTCCTCACTAGAACTTCAGTTTAAATAATCAGAAGTACATTTGCTTCCCAGGCTAAGCTCTATTTACTCTGTAACTTTCAAAGGGTAGAGTGCCTTTTTTGAATATTTGATTGGAAGCCCAGAATTCAAATTGCTATCTCTGCCTCTCTGACCTGTGACTGGGAGGGCTGTCATTCTCCAACAGGAGTGTCTGCATCTGAAATAGCTCCACAGAGCCTCTGCCAGCCGCAGAGAGGTGAAAGCAAACCCAGGCCTGCAACGAAAGTTAATGAAAAGTGACAAGCACTAAACGAGAATATGAGCTAAACCCACACAAGAGTAGCTGGGGGAGAAGGGCGTGCTCCCAACACCAAGCCGCAGAAAGGCCCCAGGCGCTCCCGGAGCAAGCTGGAATGCTCTTCCAGTGCCCATGGAGTGCTCCCTGGCCAGCCTGCGTTTACCCTGTTGCTGGAGCTCAATTGATGTTTTCGATCCAAGAGTTGCAAGAGAAGCCAGGCTGTAAGAATGCAGAAGTCCTTGGGCTCAGGGTTGGAGAACATGGGAATTCCTCTCCAGTCCCTCAGAAGTGTGTGACACGTCCTTTCTTGACAGGGAGTGAAGGATCTCAAATGTTGGCTTCAGGCTAAGGACTGCATTTTGATAGCTAGGCTTTGAAGGGAGAGCTGGAGCCCTGACTTTTCCTAAAGCAAGAAAGCGTATCTGAAACCCACAGAGATTTCTTCTTTATCTTAACCTCATCCCTCTAGACATCAAATAGGAACCTCTGGCCAGTCTTCAGAGAAGTCTCTGCCCCACCCACACATGATTGTCACTGATGGAAATGGGACAGCATTTATGTCTAATTAATAGAGAACAATGCAGTGATCATTTCTCTCGTTAAACATCACATTAACTTGCTATGAATTTTTTTTTTTACTTGATCTCTGTTTCAAACTCTGTCTAAAAAATTCTACATTTTCATGGTTTGATTATGTGCATGCTATTTTTGCTGACAAGTTAATAAAAATAGATGAAACTTTGCTTACAAAAGTATGGCAGGCATTTGAAAGAACAGGGTCCCTTGGATAAAAACTAAAAAGAAAAAAACCCCACCAAAAAAAAAAAATCACCTTAGCTACCTGGAGACCAGCCTTTCAGAAACCTCAGGCTTGCACATTTAAATGATCCTTGAAGAATCAGAATCATCCCCAAGACCCACCCTCCTTCCCCCCAGAAAAAAATCCCTGGTGGTGAAAAAGCAGTCCTTGAGTAGGTGCCTTGAAATAATAGGCTGATGCCAAAAAATAAAATAAAACAATAGGCTGATGCAAAACCTTCATGCAGGAATGTGTTGGAGCTGATGCAGGCAGCAAGGAGCCCCTGTGAGAGCTTCCCTTGTGCCAGACATTGTGCTGTGTGCTGTTCATACAGAGGGTTTCCTTAAGCCATGTGTCTTCACAGTAACTCAGTCAATAGGAATTATTAGTCCCCATCTTACAGAGGACTGTTATGAAGATAAAATGAGTTGGACACCGTCAGTGCTACATGGAGAGTTGGCTATTAGTATTGGCTTTTTCAGTGAATTGTTAATCAGAACAGAAAGTAATTTAAATGTGATAGGATGAAACTCATGTGCTTCAAGTGTCTCCCCTCTTCAGAGTTTATTTTCCTCACCACCTCTTTCCAAAGCAAACTGTCTTTCTAAAATACACATTAGGATATGCCTCTCTCTTGCTTAAATTCCATCTGTGACTCTCCATTTCCTGCGGAATAAAGTCCAGGGCCTAGATGCTGGCCGAGCTGGGACGTGTTGCTCCCTGAC